ACTTGTACATTTTTAAAGCAATTTCCCATCGTCTCAACTTCTGCTGCTTTAGTTTTACAGCAGTCCAGTATATGAAATGTATATGATGTGGTGCTAAATCGAATTTTGCAGGTATGGTATCTACGCTGGGTGATATCTCATCTCATGAAATAAAACCCAAGTAAGGGAATGTTTATATAACTCATAAGAGGGTACGAGCTTCTGATGTTTCTCAAAAGCAGAAGCACTCTGGTCCAGAATTGCTGTCTGCCCCAGAATGACGGTCAGTGCAAATACTCACCTGATCCTCTTCAGCACCTCCTATCAGGAAGGTGTCATTACCATAAAAAATGCTCTTATCCAGAGGTGTTGACATGTCTGAGTAGTCGGTGACACCCTTGTGTAGTGGCAGAACATTTTCACATTCTGTGTGTGACAGTTCTTGTCTTTTATGTGCTGGTATGGCTCATTGATGGCCAGTGCTTTTTGGGTTACAAGTGTTTGCATATTGTACTCTTACGTACACTTACTCTTTTCCTATGCCGACTGTTCTTTCAAAAAATTGAACTTTGTCTTCTGTTAGTTCTTTGGTACATGCTTATCCTACTCCACTGTTTTATTTTCTATCGTATGATATTAGAACTGTACATGGAAATTAAGAAATCTGAAAGGAGAAATTAAGCTTATTTTGTAGGACTCTTTGCTTAAGATTTTTATTTTTCTGACTTAGAAAGTTCCTTTTGGGTTTTGAAATAGTCCAGGCTGAGGACACTACTCTGCTTTATTATAGAAAGCTTTATTCAGTCTCTCTGGGAAAATCCAGAAACAATTTTTCTTGCTTACAAGTGTGCCAAAAAGTGTATAAATTTGCAAATGATTATTTTTCCCTCTTGGGGCATAACTTCAGAGTAGATTGTCAGTTTTTGCAGAACCTCATAGATCTTCTTACTCCACAGTGAAAAGAATAGGTAGTCATAAAAAAAAAAAATTAAAAAAAGCCCCACAACTTAGTCATCTGTTCAGCAGAACAGCTTTTTATGTTTTATTTACAATATATAATTCTTGCTCTAACAGACTCTGGTCTCATCTGTGAAGAGATTTTCAGCATTGAGGCTTTACATGTAAATGTCAGAAGAACTTAAAACAGATGTACAGTATTTCCTATTTCTAAGCACAATGCAGTCCTATGTTTTCCATACGTTGTATAAGTTTCTAGTAGAAAGAAAGCAATGGTATTAAAGTTTCTGGACATCCGGTATCACCACTCAATGCAAGCTAAAGTTGCCTTTTGTACGTTAAATAGAATTTTTTCGATTGAAGCTCAAACAAATGGCTACAAATATGATACATCTTATTTTCAGTAGGTGAATGTTCTTGCTTCTACTTTTGAATCCACTCTCATACTTCTCTCAGTGTGTCCCAGGGTGGTTTTAACTTCTGTTAATTTCATTGAATGACGTTCATAAAGGGAAGAAGTATCTGCAGCACCTTGTCCCATTTTGCTTTTCATTTCTGTGTTTGGCTACTTGACATTATTCATTTTCATCAATGTAGTCGCTTAGTCTAGGTATTCAAATTTCAAATTCTACTTGTGTAAGAATTGAAATTTGGAAATGCAGTGTTTGGCATGCATATATTAGCATGATGTAAAAATTTCGTATTTGGGAAAATAATTAACTGAAAGACAGCATGTAGAGAGGTTGCCAAAGCATATGCTGCATGCACAGTATTTTCTCTAAAGGTGTTTGTAATAAATGCAGTCATTCATCACCCTGAAGTCTGGCATAATCAAAGGCCACCAGGTGAGCTTGCAAATGTGCTCTGTCATTCTTGAAAGACAAGAGATGACCTAGTGCTTAAAAAAAGGCATAAAAATACAGCATGAAGAGCTGGAGGCCAGTCAGCAGTGCTATGATCTGTGGGGGAAATTATGGAACAAATCATCTTGGAATACATGTTTAGACACAAGGAGGGAAGGAACTCCCTGAAAGTGCATTTTTCCTCACTATAATTTTTGTTTTATCAGTGGAGTCGCACTAAATGTCCTACTACATTCAGAAATATATTATATAAAAGTGCTGCATGCATTATGGATACATTACTGATCCAGAAGTTAGAGGTTTGAGGCAACTGTTTTTATGATGCATGTGGTAATTTTATACTAATATGGAAGGTAATCCCTGTATTGCACATTGATTGCATCTTGGTGTAAAGACCAATGGTTCTCAGTTTTCTTAGGTATATCCTTTAAATTACAAAGATGTGAAAGACAGATGTTGTCGTCTAATGATCTGATTTTAAAAATAGATTCAACTAAGAAGGCAAACTACTGTCAAATAATATTGGATATTTGGGGGGAAACCCCACTCTATATTGCCTCTCAAATGGACGTGTGCTGAACTTGCAGTGTCTGTTACCATAGACAATGAAGTGTTCATTCCAGGAGTCACTCTTTGTGCTAGTACAGCAAATTAATAAAATTTTTGACCTGATGTAGCAAAAGCCAATATCTAGAACCGTCTAGTAGCAGTTAAATTTTCCTGCTTACTAGTTTCACTTCTGGATTTTTTGGTTAGGTAGTTACGCTCTACAACTCCTCCCTAATCAAAGAAAACCTTAATGATTGTCCTCAAATGCTTAACTGGAATCCAATACCCACTCTTAGAAAAATAAAAATTTGTTTTCAGTCATTTCTGCAATTTCTGGCTATAGACAGAGCCAATTACTAGTTCAGGTTACACTGTTCCATCTCTTGAAAACCTATTTTTTGTTGCATGAATTTCCAGTTGTATAACATTTTTCTCAGAGATGGGTTAAGCAAGGCTATCTCCACATTGACTTTTTCTTTTTGCTTTTATTAATTTCAGTGTAAAGATATGTAGAGGTTGCCCAGGATAAAAGCAGCTTAATCTGCAGTGGCACTTTTATTTTCTTTGAAAAACTAGGGAATAACATAGACAACTACTCTGACCTCAGAGCTGACAGAAGCTCAATCTGGATAAAATCACGATACTGTTGAAGTAACCAAAAAACGATGAGTTTAAGACTTTTTGATTTACTATGCCTTTTAGTTATTCAAGTTAACAGTCCAAGTAAATCACAAATTTCTGCCAAACTGCAGAGCTGCAACTCCTTTTTTTGTTTAGTTTCTCTGCTTTGTGAGCTAGAAATATGAAGTTGTCTGGTCATTTACAGTTTTGTGAAATCCAGTATGAATCAGTCTAAGTAATTGCTGAGTAAACAATGTCTGCATAAGCAATGTAAAATTCAGATTCATGTTCTGGAGACAGTAGTACTTTCCATGCAGTTTCCAGATGAGAACAAATTATTTTGCAATTTATGAATTAGCAAATGTAGTGCCTTCATGTTTCACCATGATATGTCAGAACTTCAGCATCCTTTAACGAATGACATACTGAAATCGTCTTGTTAAGATTGCAGAAATGATGAAGGAATTAATCAAGATTTAGACCTTACTATACCATACAGTATTAATATGCTCTTTATTTCAAAGAACACACAGTCTAAATCAGGAAAAACAGGACTTAGGGTTATGGAGCACAGCAGACAGAAGACAGAAAAAATGGCAAGCACAAGTGTCACTGCCATGGCATTATCTTGTTACAGACATATTTGTGAAAGTTGAGTGTAAATTAAGAAGAACGGGCTTAAAGAATGAGCTTTAAATGAAAGAGTGAGGGGGTCCTGGGCAGTGAGAGGAGTGAGTGCTGCTGGGGGAGAAGTAAGCAGAGAAAAACAAATGTGGAAGAAGGGGGGAAGGCTGAAGGGAACACTTGGTGCAAAATGGAGATGATCTGGTCAGCTCTGAACAGTTTCAATGTGCAAAGAGTAGTTTGGTTGCTTCTTAAATCTGTCCCTGCTGTCTGGCATTTGTCCTGCTCCTCCCCCAGCAGTGTGTTGGGGAGTGCTAGGGTATCGTTGGGGATCCTATTTCCCAGGGACATGAGGGAGTCCCCAGCCAAGCTCTGCACCCCACGGCCTCTGCCAGACCTCGTTTTCCCCTCCTTGCCAAGCACAGAAGTCCCCGATTTAGCTCCTTCTGCAACTCCTCCAACCATCTGGAGTTCATGCCTCCTTCAGAGCAGCAGAACTAAAGCACACAATCTAAGAATGGGGTATATTTGCATTAGTTCAGACTACTGTTGTCTTCTTTTTTTAGATTTTAATTAGTATTTGTATATCCAGGTATCTTCAGGAAAATAATGTTCATAAAGGTAGATGTTTAATATAGTCTTTTATGCTATTCTGAAATAGCTACAAAGAAACTCATTAGAGGTCTTAAAATACTTTGGATCTTAAAAGCATTCATAATGGAAAAAAATCTAAATTTTGAAATGCATAACTTGTGGAGGAGGGAACAGGGTGGTGTTTAAATAATGGTGTATCCTTTCCCTTTTTGGAAGAACCAAAGCACAGTGCATCTTTAATGTTGCACTACATGTTGCACATGTTTAATCTAATTACTCATTAAAAACGTTAACTTGCTGAAGGGCTGCCCCTTTCTTTCAGATGTGTTAGAATTCATATTAGCACTGCTTTGCCCTTGTTTCTGAATTATTTTAATGATGGCAGCCGCTCTGTCAAGTTGTCTGTCAAGATGTGGGTGGCAAGCTATTATTTCACTTCATAAATCATAATTTACAGGGGTTTTTATATCCATCTTGGGGATAAACACTTTATGCTTTGTGTTTTCAGCAGCAATATAAAATGTAATTGATACTTGAAGCAATATGTTAGAAATATGGACAGAGAAAGCTAGGAGAGAAAAATCACAAATGTTTAGTTTTTCTGTGGGTTGGTCTGCATACTGAGCATTTTTTCCATCTGATTTCATATTCTTAACACTTCAACAGAGGATGATGATGGATTGCATTTACATGATTACTGCCTGTAGGTTACTATAGGGATGTTTACAGACAGTCAACAGACTCAACAGGGTTATTTTGTACCGTTTCTCATGCTGCTAAATAAACTTATCACTTTGTGCTATTGTCTTCCAGATTCATGAAAAACTGCATTATTATGAAAAACAGAACCCGATGCCCATACTCCATGGTGCAGCAGCCTTGGCAGATGATGTAAGTGTCCCCTGCTGAGATCACTGGTACCAAGTCTACCAAAAAAGTGTCTGCCAGCAGAACTCTTCATAGTGCAAACATATGAATGTAATCCTCCAAGTTGAAATCATAAGAAGCTGCAAAGGTTTCCAAAGCTTCTGTCATCACTGGGCTTGTTGCTGATATTACTTTGATTTTTATTCATTTGCATGTTGTAAAAACATTGCATCTAGGTAGCCTCTTGTTCTGCTTTAGTAACTAAGCAATAAAAATTACAGGTTGGAAATCTACTGGGAGGGGAAAAGCTGTCAACTATTAGTGTTTTGAGAAAGTCACAGACAAGAGGAATGCTTTGGAAAAATAAAGACAAATGAGATAGCAGCACTGCTGACAGAACATGAGAAATGACAAATAATATTACAGAAATGAAGCATATGAAATGCCTAGGATGGAAGCTTGTTGAAAAAAACCAAAACTACTTAAGAAAAAGTACAGTAGTGATTTATTGATATTGGAGCTTTCCAAATTACCTTCATAACCAAAAAATAAATTGTAAAAGTGGTCAGCATTGATGGAGTAGTTAATTTCCTGTTACTATAATTTTTATTTTCAAGAAAAAAAATCCAACCTGCCATTTCTTGCTATTTGGTTAATTCTAGGATTCAGATGAATTGTGAACACACCTGTATAAACTATGACTGAACCTGAGGTAGGCCAGAATAGAGAAATGTTTAATAAACTGTGGTTTAGGTGAAATCCAGAAATCTTTGCAATTGATGATGTCACGTTGCTTTTTGGAAAAGGCAATATGTATTAGGATCCATTTCAAACACAGCATGTTTGAAACTTCACATACTTTATAGATGTTTTAAAATCTTAACTATCTATTTATATAATTAATAGATTTTTGGTTTTTAAATTTTACAAATGATTAAATGTTGTGAATTGAGATTGGTAGCATTTTAACAAAAAAAAATAAACTTATTTGAAGACTATTGAAAAAAGGATACACGGTAATTTAATCATGTTTCGGTAGGAGGAGAGCTATATCCTGTAACATACCAACTATAATCATACGTTAACCTTCACATCAGGCATATATTAGTAATATTTTTTTAACCTTCTCATAGCTTTGAATAGTGTTGATAGTAATTTTGAAAATTAGCTGGTTGAAATTCTCTTCATTAAGTTCTTGCTGACATATTAATAATCCTTGCTAATATTTGTGTTACGAATCTCTGGGCTAAAATCCGTAATAAAATAATTTAGTATTTTTGTTTTTGATATTTTCATAAATGCTGACCAATCTCATTCTTTGTTCAGACCATTTAAAATATATAGTTTTGGAAATCTCCAAATTAAAATACTCTGTCACTCCTCAGTTGAGACAGGTTGGGGCTTTATACCTTACTAATGTATTATTATGTACATATGGTAGTATTTTTAAGTGTACGTGTTGGACATGATTGTGTCTAGGCATCTACCTTCTTCAAATGTACAGCTTCTTTTTAACAGATGCTCTTGCTGCTGCTTCATTACATATGTGTAGGTGCACTGAGGCTTTTATGGGCACTGTCTCATAGGGTAAGGATGTCCTTTGGTGGCTGAAGTCAGGCTGGCACACTGAAAGATTTTCTATTTTTTGGTAGCTATCAACAAATTTTGCGGAATCAAAATTACATGAGGTGGACTTTGTAACTTCGAAACTCATGAAGTTTCAGGTTTAAAGTACTATTCATTTTTTGGCATGTTTGTCTGACTGGTTCTCAACTTCAGGGATTTAAGAGCATGTTGGTGTTATTAAATACACTTTGATTTCAACAGGCTTTAAATTAATGTTTACTCTTCTTACTGATAGTAACTGTTCTATAGTTAAAGAAGGAGATATTCTTATTAGCAAGTAGATATTTCCTGTTTGATTTAAAACCCTCCTCTGAGGTGCTGCTATCATAAATAAAATTGTTTAAGGAGTGTGTTCTTATTCTTGTGTTATCTTTTAAAGCATTTTTAGAAGTAACAATTGTGGCAAGACTTTTCATATTCCCAGCTGCCATACCTTCTCTGTCCTCTACCCCAGGAACTTTTAGGATGAATTTCCCATCAGACATTCTGTTTGCTTCTTATTTTGGAGCAGCAGTGTCTGACTTAGGGCTCAGTGATTTCATGCAAATGATCTAAACATCTCTCCTGGTTCCAGCCAGGACAGGGTTAATTTTTTTGCACTAGTTGGGAGAGGGCATGGTTAGGACATGGTGGTTATTTCTTACCACCTCATGTCAGTTCAGAGTTCCTGAAAGGCACTCTCTTCCAGGAAGAAAGGGTTTATTCCAATCAAGAAAAGGGGGTGGAGGGAGCCATTTGGTATTGTCTATTATCAGGGAGTTTTTCCATATCAGTAATTAATTTTCTTACACTTTTTGTTATTAATATTTTTGCTATTATTTCTTTAGTAATAGTACATACATACAGCAAAGCAAACACCAGTTCTGCTGGAGTTAATACTTGTGCACTATTCATCTGAGAGAGAAATGCTGAAATGGTCGTTCTTTTGAGTGGTTGCTTGTCTCCATCAGTGAAACAAGAATTAATAGATTTTATTCTCCAATGATGAGCAGTATAATATAAAGAATGAAAAGAGAACCAAGGGTAACCCATATCATAGACCTGCTGCCATTCCTATCAGAGAATGTTTTAAGCTTTGCAGGACTTTTCCAACATGCAGACTGAATTGCAGTCTGATTACCTCAATATTTGGCTTTGTGTCTAAAAATATTTAATTCTCACCTTTCCTACACAGATTGTTTTCTGATATTTTAGTATTAAATAACACAAATATTATTAATATTACCACTGAGGTACTTGCTGGTTGTTCTTAGCTATGAATTATAGTTAAAAGTCTGCAGGATGGTAGGTGATGAATTTTTGATACTCTGTTAAATTTGAAGGTTAAAAGAAAAAAAGGCATTCAAACCATGTCAGATGTTTATAATGACTTCTTCAAATAGATTTCTCTATTATATATAATTATGCAAAATATACATGTATCAATTTATTTTGAAAATATATACAAAATGAAGTACAAATTTAAAATTAGGTTAGACAAAATTACTTGCTGCAAATAGCCAATCTTTCTTTGAGACATTTTTATGGTACTGATTTAATGCAAAGAAAACAAGTGATTATCTGAAATCACGTTTTGCATTATGACCCATGTAGCTTCAGAATTCTAAACCGAAGTTCAGTGTTGTGAAATGCATTTTATCTTTTCCTTCTTCTGGAAAAATAGTTTGAGTTTAAAATCCCGCAGTAAAATATGCCTCTTGAGTCCAAATTAGTTGAGAATGGCAAGATAAGAAAAACCAAAGTCGTGAGCCAAATAGCTGTGGGATTAAAAGTTAAACTGCTGCTCTATTGTTCACCAAGCCACAGTTTTGTAGTATAACCAAACATAAATTACTGATCTTGTTGTTAGGACATAGTTTGTGCATTTTACAGGCTTGAATTGCTGATGACCTGTTACAAATTATATTATGATTAACTTGCTTCACATTTAACAAGCTCCTTCCAGTGTATGTGTAAACATAATAAAAGGTTCAGATTGCTTGCACTGTAGGGGCACTTTGCTTTCTTATCCCAGTCCTAAACAGCATAGCTACTGTGGGTTTTTGGAAGCAGTGTAGATTTCACCACCTCATTCGAAACTGTTTTTTATAGACAGTGTCAAAGTTTGATCCAGTCATTTTTACAAGCAGTTCTTTGTCTGCACGCAAAGGACCATTCACTTAAATGAAGTGCTGGGATTTGCCCCCTTTGCTATAAATCAGAATGTGATCTGGCTGCACCCTTGCCAGAAATGATTACTTGTGTTAAACTGAGCCAAAAGGCCTGGCTTAAATCTGGTCCACTGAGGGCCAGAAACAGAAGCACGGTGATTGATGGTGTTTTCCTTCATGCTGGCTTCTGTTTGAACATGCTGGAAAGCAATAACCTTGAACAAGATAGATTCTGGGTTGTCACTGATGCACTGGGTAAAACAACGCTTTGCTAATGGTCTTTGTGTTGATTCAATCTCCCACCCAGCTGGCTGAGGAGCTGCAGAGCAAACCACTGAGCAGTGAGATCAGAGAGCTGCTGAAACTCCTTGCAAAACCCAATCTCAAGGTGAGGATGAGTTGCACCTGCAAAGTGCATTCTGCATGGGTGTGGGTTTGCCTGCATTAACAAATACTATTTAAGAATGTATGCGTTAATCAGAAATATCTGTGATGAAGAAACACATTTAATGTTGTCTATACATTTTTGTGCTATTACTTTTGCTTTTAAAATGAATCACTTATTTGCAAAGGATATTTTAAAAAGTAGATAATTTCTTTTTCTTTTGCTATCTTTTAATGCATGTGCTTCATAAGTTTGTTACAAGTGTGCTTTTACTAAAAGGTTGTCAGTCATACCGTTCATTTAACTGCATCATACCTAAGGAATGCAGTCTCGTCCTCAGGACAAAATTCATGAGGGATAATGTTTTTAAAAACATCTAATTTTGAAAACTTTCTGTAAAACTCCTAGGGTTCTCTGTGGTATTTTTGAGGAACTTGATACCTTTTATCTGACAGTAGACTATAGAACCACTGAATCACTGAGGTTGGGTAGAGGTTGTCTGGTTCAGTATGCTGCTCTAAGCAACGTCAACACTGAGTTCATAGCAGGTTGCTGAGGGCTTTCTCACATCAGGTCCTGGAAATAAATGCCTGGGAACAGACATTCGACAAATACTCTGTGTGGTCTCTTCCAATTCCTAATTACCCTCCTAGTGAAAACCGTTTTCTTATATCCAGTCAAAGCCTCCCTTATGTATCATTGCTGACGCACAGGATCATATTATTTTTCCATTGTTAATAGAAAGAAGACCTTAGTACCTTAGATGCATATTGAAATGGTCATTAAATGCAGCAATTGATAAGTTGAAATGAAAACTGCGGAGTGGAAAAGAGCTCCTTTAAAGGCAGTTGCTCTTTTATCTTAAGTATAAATACTGATTTCAAAATCTGAGAAACTATGGTATCTTCAAAGTGCTACAAAGTTTTAAAGATCTGTTACACCTGCTTTTTGACAATTTTTGCACTGATGCTTTTTCCGTAGTTTGTAAAGTGACAAGCTGTTTGTCTTTGAAAGGGTAAGTAATGCCGATAGGATATTAGAAGAGGAATTGTTGGTGCATGAAATTGCAGAGATCCTAAGCTTCACTGTAGGTATATTCTTAGTGACTGTCCATGTGTGCTTCATATTTCTGAAGCTTTGTTGGGTTGAGTCTGAAGGCAGCTCATTTGCCCCAGCTGCATCTCTCCTTCTCCTTTTCTTGCTTTCTCTCACTCATTCCCTCACACGCTCACTCTCGCTGTCTGTTCCTTGGTAGCTGTGAAAGGCAATGTGATAATCTTAGTGGGATTTCAGAGAAACAAGTGCCTTCCTCTCAGAGTGGTTAACGTGATTGAACAACTGCAGTAACTTAGCAAATGTCTTTCTCGGCTGCAGGGAGAGATGGCCAGCTGCAGGGTACCAAGCCCTTTGCATGGCCAGACTGCCTAATCCTGCACAAGGTGCACAATTCCCTGCCCTGCAGGGGCCTTGCACGTGTTTATGTTGCATCTTGCAGGTGTTTGTGTGATGTAAGGGTAAGAACTGATGATATGCAAGGGACTTTACTTGTCTGTTATCTTCTCCCCCTGCCATGTCATGGCAAACATGCCTCAGAGTGATGGTAAATTAATTATCACTGCTCCCTCGTCTGTCACACTGACCAGGTGACTGTACTGCATTCAGTCAGAAGCTGTAGTTGAGATTCTTCTCTTGATCTCCCCTGCTCTCTCTTGGACACAACAGGAAAGGAAGGACATTTCTGGGACTCAGTATTTCCAGTTCCTCCCCAGAGATGTCCTAGTCCCTTCAGCTGTATCTGAGCTTATATGTAAGTTTTTCTAGCCCTTTGCTATTATGTTTGTGGCTAGAGAGGGTTTCTTGGTTTCGTTCTAGATTCCTGGGACAAAATGATGGCTAGAACAGCTTTTTCACACACCTGAAATTACCTGGGATAGCTGATCTATCTTTTCCAATGATGTTCCATAGACTTCATCTAAAGACGTATATGGCTTAATTTGTGGTTGACTTAAGGTGGCTGTACATTATTTTGCATTGGAAACTTTCCTCTCCTGACTGGATTTATAACTGCATCTTACAAGTCCTGCTGGAGCCAGGAGAACTTCCACTTTCCTACAGCTCTGCTCTAATGTTTATAGCATGGTGAAGGATGCTTAGGATTAGTTTACTGCACTGCATCACTGCTTCCACAAGTCTGATGGTGTAAGGGTCTAGCAAGGTGTTTATAACTTTGCAGGTTTGGTTAGCGGGCCAAAAAAGGCTGGGAGAGGCTTCTAATCATGTCTGATTATATAAATATTTCTATATTTTAATTCTGTATTCCAAAATTCTTTCATTGAATATATTTCTGAGTGTTTGCATCTGATGAGTAAAACTTCAACAAGTTTGTGGTGCTTGTCATTTTCATCCACAAAAAAGTTTGCTAAAGAAGAAAGTAATTTCTCTGAGCAGTTATATTTATCAGACGTGAGATTTTCAAAAGGTCCTAGAAGTAATTCCAAGGTTTTGTCAGGTGCATTTTCTTCTGAAAAGAAAAATAAATTGGGCATTTCTAGTCTTCTAAAAACTGCATGAAGTATCCAGTTACAGAGTGGAGTTTTTTTCCCTGCTCTCAAATGTGGCATTACTTACCGTAATTAAATGAACTAATAATGATTGTGGTTTATCTTTTCTGATTAAAACAGAACTCTGGAAGTAGAACAGAGCACGTAGCTCTGGGAAATCAAGTGGATTTGTTTAACTGTGTGTTAGACATTTCATTTGCGTTCTGGATTTAACATATAATTGTGTAGCCCTGTGGACACAGGCCAGCCACACTTATTATTTTTAATTTCCAGCACTGAATAAGGACTTAGGGTTTGCATTCTTTAATCTTGCTTTACCTTGTTAAAGATATCAAGAAACAGAATAGTATTTCCATACCCTAGAAGCTAAATCCAGTTGAATACTCTATTTTGTTTTTAAGCAGAACAGAATTTAGTTCTTTGAAATAGAAGTATAGAATAACCTGAATTGAAATGGACCCACAAGAATCATCAAAGTTCAACTCCTGGCCCTGCACAGGGCACCCCAAAGAATCACACCATGAGCTTGAGAGCATTGACCAAAAACATTCAACTGTCTGGCTTGGTGCTGTGACCACTTCCATGGGGAGCCTGTTCCAGTGCCCAGCCACCCTCTGGTATTCAACCTAAATATCCCCTGAGACACCTTCAGGCCATTCCCTCAGATCCTGTCACTGGTCACCACAGAGAGATCAGTGTCTGTCCCTCCTCTTCCCCTGATGGGGAGGCTGTTGACTGCACTGAGGTCTCCCCTCAGTCTCCTCCAGGCTGAGCTGAACAAGTGACCTCATCCACTCCTCATATGGCTTCACCTCCAGACCCTTCACCAGACAGAAACTGCGGAAATCTAAAATACATTTGTAGAGAGCAGGGCAGGCAGACTCAAACCTGATCTGCTGCTGTTTCAAATCACTCAAATACGTCCTTGCTTAGGTCCAAACACCATTCCAACCAGAGCTACACAGCACTGCTCACAGGCTGGCCTGGCCTGACCATGAATATATATATACCTGTAAGGTTTGTATCTCCAAGGTATATGTTTTATTGCAATTTAATAAAAGCAATCAAACAAAATGCCCATGCACCTCACACACAAACACAACAATGTAAGTTTCAATACATTTAGTTCTGGTTATTTACCATAATTTTAACTTGGACATGTTAAACTCTTAAGCTGTTTTTTAACATGAAGACTAAAATATATAGTTAGTATATACATGAAGAAATGGTATTTCTGATTCAAGAAAGGACACTCTCGTGAGTGCTTTTGTACAAAATATGAATGCACAAACAAAGTGGTTTATAATTTGGAAAAATTAACAGAATGTCTTTAAAGAGGGGAGTTATATAGAATTCTGAAAACAATGACAAAAATTAAAAAACTTATGATGCATCAGGTAGGCACCACTGCAATTGAGAGAGGTGTCTCTATAGAAATTTGGATTTTTTTATGAATCTGGAAATACTGCTGTTGAGGGCACTAAGCATTTTTTTATAATTCTCTCTAGACAAAATATTTTTCATTGTTATGTAATTGTGTAAATTGTAACATATAATTGGAAGACTAAGGTTCAAGATGCTAACACAAAATACACCTAAAAGGGAATTTAATTTTGGCTATTTAATGAACATGTCACAGGCAAGTTAGTGAAATGGTCTTCTCTGTTTGTAGGGATGGAAATGGGAAGGAGTGAAGTGGTCACCAGAGTAATTCTGTCAGTAACAGGGCAGAACGCCAGTGAGGAGATGTACAGATGACAGATGATCAAGCTAAGAATGAAAGACTTTAAAGCTTCCAGATTCTCTTCCACATTTAATTAAAACTTGAATAATTAGGTTTCAGTTCCTTTTCCAACAAGCTTGAAAAAACTGTGTTCTTTTTGAGATGGTGCCATAACAGAAGAGCATAATCGTTGTTTATTTTTTAAATTATTTGAAAAATTGAAACAAATTACTATAGGAATTAACATTTTAGGCACATTATTGCTGAAGCTGTAAACAAAAAAGACTGTTAAAGAATGAACCATCTCTTAGTCCGTTGGACAATGTTATCCCAATTATACTAACTTGGAGAGAGGCTTGGGACATATTATTCAGATCTAAATAATGTTTAACGTCGTCTTTATAACAGCAATTACATTTGTGATCATTACATATCAAAATAAGCGATTTATCATTGAAGTTAATCTCTATTACTGTAAATTAAGTGTGTTTTTAATTATATAAAATATGTCCTTTGTGGTCATTGGTGTAATGGGCAGAACAATAATTATTTCAAAAGTTAATGCCACTGTTCTGAAACTACTCTGAAGAACGTTTGTACCTTTATGACCTGGAGGAAACAAAGCTGTTCCAATGGTGATTCTGCCTGTTTCAGTGGAGTTTAAATTCTGTTTATGTGTGCTGGAAGGTTTGCCAGCTGCTAGTCTGAAACATAAACCA